ATGAAATATGCTGAATCCTAGTCCTCTCCCTTATTACTGTTTGGCAATTGACAGATGTTCTCTCTGAAATTTAATGAAGGTAAATTAAACGTCCTAATCTTGTTTGTTACACTCCTTTAAGAAAAATGGACTCTTAAACACTGGGTGCTGTTAATCATTCTGACTTCAGTACAGTTCTGTCTCTCTTGTCCCACTGCCCCGTAAATGTAATATGTGCTAATTGTACTTTTTTGGGGGAGTGAGGAATAATTATGGAATGTTGGACACATTCCACACAATTTCATTAGTTACTCTTGGCTCCCTCACTTATTCCTCCTCCCTGTTTAAGCAGTGGTTTTAGGAATGGTGTGCCGTTTTATCAAAGGGCATGTGTACTGGTATCTGTATAAAAATAAATAAAAATAATTGGGAAGAAGTATTTGTTCTTTTTTCTGAAACATCAGTATTAAATAAAAATGGTTGAAGTAAATCAAGACTATAATGATGATTGGAAAGACTTCAGATCCACAAAAATGATCAGGGGTTGTAAACAGATCTAAAGCTAAATTTCTGTGACATTAAGATTCAGTGTCCCCCAAGGGGAAAGCAGTTTTATTATAAGGAATTTTGACTAAGAAATATGTTGAAATTGTTAGGAAGCCACCTCTGAGTCAGTCCAACAAATCTGTCAAACTGTAGAGAAGTGATCAGTGTCATTACTTTGCTAAATTGAATTCAGATTTCTCAAACTTTGATAAATATAGAGTAGTAAACAGAATTCTGAACTAAATACTAAAACTAGAAAAAGTAAGAGACATGACATGTTCTGTCCTTTTTTTATACAGATAATGTGAGAGCTGTGGGAGGGGGATAGAATTTAAAAGGAAGTTTCCATTTATGCTGATGTGTTGGGCATCATGAATATGAAGCCAAAGCTTGAACTATGCTGACTTATGGACATGAAGGACTGCACTGAAGTCTAGTCCTGATGAGACCTAAGAACAATATTAGGAACAGAAAGTTTGAAGTGGACTCTGACCTCGATTAGAGATTGGTAGAATTCAAACTCTTTAAAACAGCTGGGGCTAGTATAGAAGGTTTTCCTTGCACCTTTCAGGTACTGAGCCAACTTTTTTTTTTAGGTACATATTTAATGTTGATACTGAACCTTAAAAATCCTCTAAACTAATGGGTTTGTGAATTAATATTGAGTGTGCACTCCACTCAAGATGAATTATCTTATTATTAAAACAGTAAATAAACATTCAGTAGCTTTTTTTAACATTTAACTTATTTCTGTAATGCAATTTTCAGAGAGACTGATGAGGCTTACTTGCTAAAATGTCTGTCAATACATGGTTGATGCATTCCAGTTTTATTTTGAGTTTTCACACTTTTCAAATTGATCTCAAATTGGCACACATTTTATTTCAAGTTAAAATCGAAGTAGTTTTATCTTTTCTTAATATGCATGTAATATACCTCTGCTGGTGGTCAGTAAGTACTTGCCTCCACTGCCATAAACCTTTTCCATTTTCATACCAGATCATCACACTTGGATGGGAACAGCTGGTGCATACCCCTGAGCAACAGCAGATCCCTCTCCCTGTTTTAAAACAGCTAAGGTATATGTTTGGCAGAACCTGAAGAGGGGTGCTTTCACTTATAACAGTTCTTCAGAGAGAACTGATGTTTTCTTTGACTCTGCCTGCTTATAAACACAAGGAGGTTTTTTGCTTTGGCTTACAGTGGAGTTGTAACGTTGCTGGCTCTGGAGTACAGCGCTGCTTTCTGGTCAGTTTTTAATAGGTAGCCTAGAATTGCATATTATAACTGACTTTTTTAAATGTTAATTAATGCGGTGTTATGGTTCCTTGCTTGGTCAAATGGCAGTAATCAAAGTATATTTAGAAATCATAGAGGTCCCTAGCAAACAACAAGTAAAGACAGTGATCCCCTCTTTCTGTTTGAATGTCTTCTTGGAATTATTGCTTATGCTCAAAGCATAGGGTGGGTCCATCCTTATGCAGACTTGGTCAGAACTCCACACTTTATTAATTTCTCCCTTATTGTGTAAAGCTTATTACACGAGACTGCTTTTAAAGAGTCATTACAGGCTATATTTCAGACTCATTCAATTCATAGTTTAACAGGAAAGTCCTTTTCAAACTTATTTGGTATATGTCTAACTTCCTTTGTGTAGCAGAAGGGTAACACATTGATAAGGTGCAGAGTAATGAGGCTAGCCTGTTTTACCTTTTTTTGGCTGTGCTTATACTTATTTTTCTTTTTAATACAACCATTGATAAATGGGATCTGGGAAAAATGTGGGTTTCCCCCTTTACCTGAGGAAAACATGGATTTTTCACTTTAATGGAGAAACATGCAGACTTTATGCTTTTGCAAAGAGCTCTCTGCAGGCTGGCAGAATGCTAGCCTGCAAAAAGCCGTGGGGAGCAGGAGGGCAGTCAGGCAGGTGGGGCAGCCTGGAGAGCAGCTCCCAGGTAAATCTTGAGGAAGAAGCCCTCCTAGAGAGGGAGCAAGTGAGTTGGGCAGATCTGGGGGGCTTGGGGTCCAGGGCCAGAATACATGGCTGCCAGGCCCTGACAGGGAGCAGTACAGCAGCTTGT